CAATCTGTTCATCTGTCATATTTTCTGTAAATTAGGAGTCCAATCGAGAGGCTTGACTACATTCAGATCCCCCCCCCCCCTCCGCCAAGAATACTGAGTTGTTGACAGGATGTACATTGGTGGCATCTTATCAGTCACATAGGCTGGTAGCAGTGTCTGGTTTTCCATTTCTCTCATGTTGAAATTCAGTTGGTTCCACTGCTGCCAAGTTGACCCATTATATCGACCATTCACGCAGCAGTTTTAACATTCCTCAGTGGTCATTGTCTAGGTCCTATTATTGCATTTGTCATTGATAAATAGTGACTTTGGGGGGGAAGGGGGACTTTATTTTGAATAATTTCAGATTTGTAAACTTGCAAGACCAGTAGAAAGAACTCCAACATGACTTTCACTCTCAACTGTTAACATCACATCTCCTTTACCAGTTTTTCTTGATAACTATAGTCAATAATGACTGTCAGTAACTATTATTTTACGAACCATTTGGAAGTAAACTGCAGGCGTTATATCCCTTTACCTCTTACCCGTTTCAGGGCATGCTTCCTTGAAACAAGGACATTTTTTTTTTCTTTTTAAATAATTTTTTTTAAAGTTTACTTATTTAGTTTTAGAGCATGTACATGAGCAGAGGGGCAGAGACAGAGGGAGAGAAAATCCTAAGCAGGCCCTGCACGGTCAGTGCAGAGCCTGATGCGGGGCTTGATCTCATGAGCCCATGAGATTATGACCTGAGCCTAAAATCAAGAGTCAAGTGCTTAATCAACTGAGCCACCCAGGCACCTCAGGACATTTTCTTTTGTAACCACAGTCTAATTAAAATTAGGAGATAAATGATATTAATATCCAGATCATATTTTCCAATTGTTCTGCTAATATCTTTTATAAAGAAAAAATAAAAAGGTACAGGATGCCATCCATGATCACTTTTGTGTTTAGTGGTCATGTTCTTGAGTGACGGTTCCTCTGTCTTTGTCTTTCATATCTTGACACATCTTAAAGGTGCAGTACAATTATTTTGTAGAATGTCCTCAATTTGGGTTTGTCTGGTGTTTTCTCAGGATTTGATTGAGATTGTGCAATTAGGAATAATATGGAAGTTGATGTTATGTCCTCGATGTATCCTATCATGAGTACCATGATGTTGGTTTCAGCCATTACTGGTGATTTAATTTTAATCACTTGATTAAGGTGGTGTCTGCGAGGTTTCTCCACCATAGGATTTTTTTAAATGTTTGTTTATTTTTGAGGGGTGGGGGAGGAGCAGAGAGAGAGGGAGACACAGAATCTGAAGCAGGCTCCAGCCTCTGACCTGTCAGTGAAGAGCCCGACGTGGGGCCTGAACTCACAAACCATGAGACCGTGACCTGAGCTGAAGTCGGATGCCCAACCAACTGTGCCACCCAGGCGTCCTGGACTTTTTTTTTTTTTTTTAAATGGGAGATACTTTGAGACTTTGTAAATACCCATTTCCTCTCAAACTTTTATCCACTAGTTTTAGCAGCCATTGATTCTTACTTGAACAATTAATACTTCCCAAGGTTTACTTTTATATTTATTAGCACTCTGCCAAAAGGAAGAGTTTTGCGTGCACACACACACACACACACACACGGCATGTGCACACACTATAGATTATAATCTGATACTATTTTTTCATGCAGATTGTCCATTTGGTGCCCTTCCAAGTTGGCTTTTGGGTCCCTTTGCTGTATCCCCATCATTTTTTGAGTACTTTCTTTGGCATGAGATGTTTTAGGCTCATCACCTACATTTCCTTTCCCAGATTTGGAATTAGCCATTTTCTCTAAGGAGTCTGCTGTTGCTGCAAGGGAGGCCTGAGGGTTTGTGAGTGGAAGAGACTCAGATTTGTTTGAGTCTACCCAAATATCCCCATTTCAAATCTCCAGGTCTCACTCCTTTTCAATCAGTGCATAGGTTTCACCTAAGAGAACTGGCATGGCTGTGAATTCTAGATTGTAATTCTGCAACTCATGAAATTTGGGGCCTGATTTGTAGCCAGTTATGCCCTGTATCTCCACGAATTGAGATATTTTTTTAAGACTGCCATAGAAGTGCTCTAGTTCTCTTTATCATGACTTGGCTTTCAAAGTTAAGGCCTGAACTTGTTGTTTTCTGTGAGTACACAATACAATAAAAAGTAGCCAATTCATTTCACTCTCCTGTTGATCATCATCACCATTATAAACATCAAGTGTAGCATCTAAACTTGGTCTTTTGAGCCTTGTCTTCAATAGGCACTTCATGCAAAACAACTGTAAGTCTTTTTTGTTTTGTTTTGTTAGTGTTTGAGAGAGAGAGCTTGCACGGGGGAGGGGCAGAGAGAGGTGGGCAGAAGATCCCAAGCGGGCTCCACGCTGACAGCAGCGAGCCCTGTGTGGGGCTCTAACTCAGGAACTGTGAGATCATGACCTGAGCCGAAGCCAGACGTTCAACTGGCTGAGCCACCCAGGTGCCCCAAAACAACTACAAATCTTAACATACGGCATGACATATGTTACCAGATCTAATTTTCTACTGGCAGTGAGGTCTTCCCTGAATTCAAGCTCAAACATGGTGGTGAACTAAATGCAGAAACACATCTTTGAGGGCCTGTTTCTCAGGACCACTCCAGGTGCAAAGCTTTGTACTGGTCAGTGTCTGACTTGGAAACAGAGTTCACTCTAGGTATTTCAAACCGGAGAGATTTAATGCAGGGATATGTTATAAGGATGTCTAAAGGACGGAAGGAGCAAAAGAGAGAAGGGAAGGTTACTTATAAACAGACAACTGCAGCTAGGCAACTGACATCAGCCAGGCCTGGAGAGAGATTACTCAGAGGCCACAGCACATTGCTGGGGCTGGATTTCAGCTACCTGGCAAGGACCCAGAGCCTGTACGTCCAACTTCATGTGGCTGCCCCTGAAGCCCCCACCACCTGACCCTTAGTCCCTGATGTTCTTACAGCCAATGCTGCTATAGCCAGGGTCGCAGTCAGAAATCTGGACAGGGGTGCCTGGGTGGCTGTCGGTTGAGTGTCTGATTCCTGATTTTGGCTCAGGTCATGATCCTGGGGTGGTGGGATCAAACTCTGTGCTGTCAGCACAGAGCCTGCTTGGGATTCTCTCTCTCTCTCTCTCTGCCCCCCTACCCCAAATAATAAACATTTTTAAAAAACCTGAACAGAAAGAATCATTTTTCCTCACCCAGCTTGCATCTCATAGCAGTGCCTCCCATTGGTAGATGCTAAATGGAAGTCCGCTTAGTAAGGAAGTCTCAGACTGTAATTTGGGGATCTGACTACATTATGTTGTTACGTTACATTTCAGGGCACAGAAAGTTGAAGGTAGGAGACTGGGAGCAAAACAGCAACACAAACAAATGAATAAACAAATGAGAAGATGCTCAAAGTTAACTCTATCCCAGAAATCCCAACCGGTTGAATCCAAATACTGAGCTCCTGTTGCATGCTGGGCATGGTGGCGCTAGGCTTTGGAAATGCATTGGGGAACAAAACACAGTCCCTGCTGTCCTGGGATTTGCAGTCACAGGGTAGGGATAGACAGCCAATAAGCACTTCATCTAAAGGCACCATTACCTATATCTGACAAAGAATTTTTATCTTGATACACAACACACAAAACAAAAATAAATGTAGAAAGATAGACCACCCTAATAAATGGTCAAAGAAAATTGAGCAGACCATTCACAAAAGAGGATATTCCTTTGGTCCATAAATATGAAAGGGTGCTCAACTGTGTCAGTCATGGAAATGCAATCACAATGAGACACCACTACATACCTACAGCTTGGCTAGAAATCAAAAAAAAAAAAAAAAAAAAAAAGGCTAGCAACGCCACCAGGTGTGGCAAAGTGTGGAACAAGGATATGGTCCATTGGAATGAACACTTTGGAATCCTGGTCAGAAACATCTACAGAAGCTAAACATTATACCTACCCTCTGACCTGGCAATTCTATCGTTAGATTTACAACCAAGAGAAGTTCAAGTATATGTTCATGAAAAGACATGTGTAAGACTATCCATAGGAGCTGTATTCATGAAAGTTCAGACCTGGAAATCACCTAAATGGCCACATGGATAAAAGAAAGGTTAAAAGTTGTGACATATTGGGACACCTGGGTGGCTTAGTCAGTTTGGTGTCCGACTTCAGCTCGAGTCATGATCTCGCAGTTTGGAGTTCGAGCCCCACGTCAGGCTCTGTGCTGACGGCTCGGAGCCTGGAGCCTGTTTCGGATTCTGTGTCTCCCTCTCTCTCTGCCCCTCCCCTGCTCGTGCTCTGTCTCTCTCTCAAATATAAACATTTAAAATGAAAAAGTTGTGACATATTTAGATAATTGAACACTATTCAATAAAAGCGAGTGAGCTGCTGCTACATGCAGCAACGTATGGATGAAACTCACCGAATGTTCAACAAAAAAAGCCAGATATAAGAGTTTATATCCCATTTATTTGAAGTTCGAGAGTAGACAAAACTCATCTTTGGTGATAGAAGACAGAATCGTGCTTTGGTGGTATTGATGGGGTAGAGGCAGGAAGGATCCTGCTGGTGTGCTCGAAATGTTCTGTATTGATTTGGATGGTGTTTCCACTGGTGTGTATATGAATAAAAGCTCCACAAGCTGTAAACCTAAGATTTGTGCATTTCACAGTATGTATGTTATTCCTTAAAAAATTACCAACAACAACAAAAAAAAAAAAGCAAAAGAAATGAGAGTGTCATGTAAATGTAAGTGCTAAGAAGGAATTAAGTGATGTGATGGGTAGATGGGAGGTTGACTGACCAGAGCTGAGACCTGAATGGCGATGAGGAGGTAGCCACATAATGAGTGGAGGGACTTCCTGTGAGAGGGGACAGCAAGTGCAAAGGTCCTGAGGCAGGACCACGTTTGCTGTGTTGGAGGAACATAGTCAAGGCCAATGGACTGGAACACTGTAAGCAGGGCCAAAGCAAGCCTTTATTTAGGGTGGCTTTTTTAACAGCGAGTGGAAAGCATGAAGGGTATGAGATAAGGGGTGCTGGGTATACTTTCTCAGGAGTAAGGGAAAGAGAAACCTTGATGACTTTTAATTCTGTGGCTGGGACATCTGGAAGGCCGGACGCTGGGGTTCCACTGACAGCAGGACTGGGGAGGCAGTGGAGTCAGGGTTGGTTTGGACCCTTTAAAGTGGACCTACTTTTTAATATCCCTGGAGTTGTTGGGGGAGGCAGTGGGTGGTGGGGCTGAAGTTCTGCACCAGCCCCAGGATAGGCACTCATGTCTGGAGCACACAGGTGGCATTTCCAGCTTCAGGCACCTGGGAGAACAGAGAGCAAGAAGGAACACAAGGTGTTTAATGACATGAGGTTTTCTGGAAAGAGACTCGAACTGCTGAGGGTTTGGATTGAGACTGTTTTAAAAGTGCTTCTTTAACAAGCTCTCTTGAGTGCTCTCCCCACCAGGCACTGAGCGCCCCAAGGTGAGCAGACTGCCTGGGCTTCCGTGTCCAGAGCCAGAGCCACAGGCCCTGAAATGCAGATCCCAGGGCCCACCTGTGACCTTCTGATACGGAGTGCTGGAGGCATCTGCATTTTCCAAGTTCCCTGGGTGAGTCTTTTTGTATACTGAAGTTTGAGAATCTCTTACTTCCAGTGGCCGTGTGTGTGTGTGTGTGTGTGTGTGTATGAGAGAGAGAGAGAGAGAGAAAGGGGGGCAAGGTGGGGGAGAGAGAGGAGAGAGGGAAAGAGAGCAATTTCCTCTTTCTTTCCCTCTCTGAGGGTGGGGCTACTCTGGAGTTCAGGAAAGCAGTCAGTTCTGTAAGCTTTGCTGTGTGTGTGTGTGTGTGTGTGTGTGTGTGTGCGCGTGCGCGTACACGCTAATGTGTGGGGGGCGGGCACGGTGTCCCAGGAGGACAGAGTTTGCATTGATGAAAACCCTTCCCAGCCCTTTGATACCTCTTTCCCGCCGCTCTGAAGCTAACTAGCTCCGTCCTCCTGCATCCTGCTCTCCAGCTGCACCAGCTGCCCTAGCTCACGGGCCAGGATGGGATTCTGTCTGGCCCTACGTATGGTGCTGCTGCTCCTGTCCGGGGTCCTGGCCCCTGCAGTACTCACAGGTAAGGCTGCTCCCTCAACTCTGCTGCCACCAGCCACCCAGGGCCAAGAAGCACCTAGAGCCGGATTCTCCACGGCCCACCGGGCAGAAGAAGCCCTTCCCTCACAGAAGGTGGAACCGCCATTTGGGGTGGTTCTTTGGAAGGCTCCTGGGAGACAGGCCGCCAGGAGCCGCGTTGATGTCCTGGGAGTTGTTAGCCATGGGGACGATGGCCCCCGAAGCAGGAGGGCAATTTAAGCAGCAGGGCCAGGGAGGTTAGCTGCCTGGGGAGACATGGGGGTACCCCAGCATGCTAAAATCTGAAGGCTTCCAGTCAGGAAAGGGCACTAGGCACAGGGCAAGCAGCCGAGGGACCAGAGGCCCCAGGCTCCTAGACAGAAAACCACAGAGCCCTGCCGTTTTACGTTTCAACCCTGCAAGCCCTTCTCTGCTGGCTTTCTGAAATGTCCTTTCAGAGTGAAGACCCAGGTACTAGTCTCAGCCCGGGAAAAATTCCAGAAAGAGCACAGAGCCTGAGACTCCTTGGCAAAACCATGATGAGGACACTGGACTTGGGCTCTGTACTTAGGTCAAAACGGCTGGGTGTGGGATTCAGTGAGAAGGAAGGTCCCACCAGGCTCAGGGTGGCAGGCTGGCTGGACCTCAGGCCCCGTCCTGGGCATGGCTCTAGGGCCCTCTGCTGGGAAGGGCTGTCCCAGGCCAGCTTCAAAGCCTGAGAGAGAAAAAGCCCAGGTAGCTCACGGATGGTCTTTCTCTGTTGGCTGTGAGGTGGGCCACCGGAGAAATATTTCAGGGCCCTTGTTGGGGGTGGTCCTGGGGCTAGAGGAATGAGTGGGAGGAGAGACCCCCGGAGACCTTCTCTGCAGCACCGACTTTGGGGGGAATGTCTGTGGATCTATAGGAGTGGCAGCTGGATGCCAGCCACATGAGCATGGCCCTGGGGAGAGTTACTGGGGGACGTGAGGCCCGGTGGGACAGCCACACTCAGGCACACATGCCAGGAAGAAGAGGGTGATGGCAAATTGCCTGTGGGCATGCAGGCCCCTCTCGACGTCCTAGGAAGAACCTCTGGTCCTTGGGACTGGTCCTTGCAGATCCCCCACCCCCCACCCCAGCCCTGCCTGGTGGTCAAGGTGGGTAGGGGTGAAGGTGCTGGCGCCTGCCTGCCCAGGCTCTGGGACCGTCTGGGGAGCTCCTGTCCAGTTTCTTGTTTCCAGAGTAGCCAGCCCTCCCAGCCCAGGATGCTGGCCAGAGGCCCTGGATCAGACTGCATACACAGCCTGGGTGGGTGGGCTTTGTCCACTGCCACAGGAATGTTTGGGGACGTGTTTGGCATCTCTGGGGCCTCACCCGGCCTCACCTCCCTCCACGTGTCCTACCGAGAACAGGCAGGCCAGCTCCACCCCGGAGTCTTTGGGGTTTTGGCCGGCTGTCATTCTTCCTGCCGTTTGGGGAGGGAGGATGTTTGGGAGCCTCTCGGCTACCCCACTTTGGGCCAGAAGCTCTGAGCAGGTGTGTATAGGGCCCAGCAGGCCCCCTGCCCTTTGCTCGGTGGGCTGGGGTCCTGTGGCAGGCAGGCAGGCAGGCAGGCAGGGAAGGAGTGGCCCCGCGGCTGAGCTGCGGGCCCTGCCTGCCGTCCTCCGTCCTCCGTGTTGGTTGCCTGTGGCTGCCGCTACTGGGTAGGGGGAGCAGGCCAGGTTGAGCAGGCGGGAGGCCAGGCCAGGGATGAAAAGGCCCTTCATGGCTGGCACAAAGGCTGTCTGTGAGCACGGGTGCCTGGCCTCGGGGCCCAGTGGTCAGAGTGAGTGTTAAACAAACCTATTTACCGAAAGGCAGGGCGGTGGAGGCGGTGCCCTTGGCGGTGTCCCCAGGCCCCTTACTTGTCCTGGTTTCCTTGGTCAGAGTCGAAGGACGTTGCTAACTCTGGCCTTTGGAGCTTAGATGTCCTCGCAGGTCCCCCGTGGGGTTCTCAGCTCACCTTCCGTGCCCGTTGGCTCATGTCTTTGTTCACGCAGGGCCCTCTGCCCGTCTTGCTTTCCCTCATCTTCGCTTGTCTGCAGACGGGGCCTCCTGCTGGCAAACTCCCTGACAACTTCTTCTGTTTATGGCTCCCCCAACATAGATTTGGGGGCAAAGGGGGTTATTGCCTTTAAATGTTGTCTTTCCCTTTTACTACAGCAAGTTGAGAAAATACAGAGACAGGTAGGTGCGCATAAGTAAATGCTTTGGCCCCTTCCTGGCAGCTGTACTTCCTTCGCCGGAAGGCTGGTGGCCGAGTCCAGGCTGCAGTTCTGGGCTGTGTATGCTGCTGGGCCACCCCCCTGGGCTTGCAGGGAACTGGCAGGCCTTTGGGACGCTGGATATTTGGGTGCAGGTGAGCCCTGGGCCAGCCTTTGGGGGTCTCCCATGATGGTCAGCTGCGGCAAATGGACAGCACACAGATCTGCCCGGCCCGTGTCCGGCCGGAGGGCCCCGGGGGCCAAGGCGGCAGCTGGTGATGGCAGTGACAGCACAGTTACAACTTGTGGGGGCCACGAGAGGCATGGCCCAACTCCCATTTCACAGACTGGGAAGTGAAGTAGGGGAGAGGGGAGCAGAGTCAGCCTGCTGGGGTCCCGGGGTGACGTGACGGACCCAGCCCTCTTGATTTGGAAACCCATGGGTTCCAAACCCCCTAAAGCTTCAGGGACTGGTTGAGTGTCGGAGGAGGGGTTGGAGGGGGGTACACGCAGCAGGGATGAGGCGGCCTGGGCCAGTGTGTCTGGCAAGGAGAATCCAGGCTTCTGTGGGGAGCCACAGAGTAGGGCTGGGTTACTGGGAGCAGAAGGGGAGAAGGCCTGGGTGTGTCCCCAACTGCCCCGCTCTGAGGGCCCACTCTCCTCCAGAGATGGCTTCTGAGCTCTGGCAGAGGGCAGAAGTAGATGCTTACCTGGGCCTACTCCAGGCAGCTGAATCCCCAGATGCCACCCAGGTTGGCTGGGCCTGGTCCCCAGTAGCCCTGTGGTGGCTTCCCTGTCGCCGGTGTATGGAGAGCAAGTGAGGGCCAGTGGTTTGTCTGTTTATCTGGGAAGATAGGCATTCTGTGAGCCCCACACTTCAGGGCCTAAGGGGTGGGCATTTTTCTTTGGCCTGGCCCCCGGGAGCCTGAGGCAAGCATGTCCGGGGGGCCTGGCACTTTCCATAGCAGCTAAGAGGCTTGCAGACCCCTGACCTCCCAGGCAGTGACAGAGGACGCCCGGCAGGGTTGCTTCCCCACTCTGCACAGTGTGGTCTTTGCAGCTGGTGGGAGGCCGGGGGGGCCCCCAGACATGGGCACTGCGGTTCAGCCTCAGGTCCTTCAGGTGGGAAGCTTCCCCTACATTGGGTGCCAGGGACCTTCTGCCCCCAGGAGGGCTCCTTGCCAGGGCTGTTTTCTGAACAGGGATGCTGGCTGGGGTAACCCCTGGGGAATAGGACAGTGGTCCCGGTCTGCAGGCTGAGCCTCAGAACTGACCCAGAGCCCAGGCCTGGGAGAGGCTGCAGGGACAGGGCGTCTTGGGGAGTCTTGTACAGTTGGGGGAAAGATTCTAAGTTGACAGCAAACTTGCAAGGATAATCCAGCGAGCTCTGGTACACTCTGCTTAGATTCACTTTTGCCACAGTTGCTCTTCCTGTCTCTGTCTGACCCCGCCCCCACCCCCAATCTGAATGCTGACCAGTCTAGAGTAAGTTGTAGATGTCATGCCTTTCTGCCCCAAAATGCTTCTAAGAACAAGGATATTTTCTCACATAACCGGCCAGTTACCCAAGATAAGACACGGACATCGATACAGCACTGTTATCTAAGCTACATATTCACACTTCCCCAGTGGAGCCCGGGGTGCCCTTATCCAGGAATACGTGCTGCATTCTCACATCCTTAGTCTCTTACTTGGAACAGTTCCTCAGCCTTTCTTTGTCTTTCCTGACCTGGGTGTTTTAGAAAGCACAGTTCATTTAAGACTGGCCCTGAATTTGGGCTTGGCGGATGTCTCCTCGCGATTTGCCCCAGGTGGGCACTGTTAGCAGGAAAGACCCAGAGCAGCCCCCCTCTGGAAGCCGGCAAGTCTGTAAGCAGCTTGGCTCTGGCCCGTCTGTGCCAGAGGGAGTTCTCAGGGGTGACGCCTGTAGAGGAAACGGTGCCCCAGTGACCTGCGGGTGGGTGGCTGGGGCTGCGTTAACTCCGCAACCTCCCTGGCTTACACCTGGGAATTTGTTGCATCCTCCGGGGGGCTTCCCACTCCCGGCAGCACCCCGCGCAGTGCCCGCCTGAGCCTGGGTTTCCTCAGCTCTGAAGCAGGGATACGACCGTTCCCGGCCACGGAGCAGCTGGAGTCCACGAGGTGGTGCCGTGCTGCCCGCACTACCCTCTCTAAGGACGATGTGGGGGGCTGGGCATCCCTGGGTCACACTCGAGATTAGGCGCTGGCGAGCCCTGACCCTGCCAAAGCCACCCCAGGGCTGGGGTGGGAAGGCGTGGAGACTGCCGGCCATTCTGGTCTTGGACCGTTAAACTGGGCGCTGGGGCCTCCTGTTGGGGATGGACGGATGTGGGCCCAGGGTTCGGGAAGTGCTGTGGGGCTCCTCAGACCAGGACCCTTGGTGGGGAGGGGAGCGCAACTGGCATAGTGGAGGTGGGGATATGGGGCTGGGGCTAGCACCCAGGCGTCCGAGTCTCAGCCTGCCCTGCTCCCTGGGCCTGCCAGGTCCTCCACACCTTGCTAACTCCCACCCCACGAGCAGAGAAAGGCTCCTGCAGAAAACACCGCACAGGGATTGATGTGCTGACTGAGCCCCAGCTTGTGTGGGGACAGGGGAGCAGCTCCCTTTTCTTGGGGCTTCCCTTACCCTGACCACAGACACCCCTGTGCACCCCTCTGGCCCTGTTCTCTCTGGAAGCAGCAATATGCTGGCATCACAGTTTCTCAAGATCTAGAGCCCCCTTGGGGTTTCAGCCTTGGGACACGGGGTGTGTGTGGGCGTCGGGCCCCGTGGCCTCTGGGCTGCACGGCTCTGCCCGGGTGAGGACAAAGGAGGGGGCGCAGGTCTGCTCCTGGGCTGTGGAGTTTGCCTCCCCTCCCCACCTCCTGCAACAGTAGCCTCGTGGGGCTCTGCGGAGGCAGGGACCCTGGTTCCTGCAAGGAGAGTTGCCTCATCTCCCCGGCCTCTTCTCCAGGACGAAGGCGGACCCCTGCCTGCCTCGCAGGGGAAGGGAGCCCCTCGCCAGTGTCATCTCACCCAGGCCTACAGGGCCCTGCAGTGCAGATGAGGGACCGCAGTCTGTGCTGGGAGACGTGAAATGCCCCTGCTGCGGGCTCAGGCTCCTCACGGCCGGCCGTCTGCCGAGAGAACCCGTTGGTGCCCTTACTCCCCTCCTCCACCTCCGGGTCTGTCTTCACTGCAGCCCGGCCGCAATAAGCCCTCCGGGAGGGCCAGTGCAGCGCCCACCCCGCAGTCCCGCACACAGCGCCACCTCCGCGGCCGGTTAACCGCGCGGGGCCACGTCCCCGTCGGCCCCGCCGCCTGCGCCCCAGCGCCCCAGGGCCTCAGCGCCTGTCCTTGGCCTTGCAGCCGAGGGCCCGCAGGAGCCCGCGCCCACCCTGTGGAACGAGCCCGCCGAGCTGCCGTCGGGAGAAGACCCCGTGGAGAGCACCAGCCCCGCCCGGGAGCCCGAGGCCACCGGGCCCCCGGCCCCCACCGCCGCGCCGAGCCCCGAGGACAGCACGGCGCGGGAGCGTCTGGACCAGGGTGGCGGTAGGCGCGGGCCGGGCGGGGGC